AAGGAGATATATTCTTATCCCGCGAGTAGAATAAGATTTGATCCTGTAATTTTGCTAGTTATAACGTCATTATGTAGATAGTAACACTCGAAGACTACATGGTATGACGATTAGAACTTTCTTTCTACTAAAGCATCGATACTTTCTATCCGAGTATACTAACATCGTGTTTGTAACTATTCATGATCAATGCACAGCTTAAGGCAAGAAATTGTCTCCCCGTATAGATTGCTTGCACAAGAGATAGGCGTAAGAAAGATAGATTGTGTTCGTTTTTAGTTTTTATTAGGCCTTCAGATTTCTAACGATCCTGTCCAACGCCACAGTTACTGTGTCATTAAGTAATTTTGTCTTTTATTGAATTCATGATTAGTACGTATAGTCAATTATTGTTAATACCTAAAAATGAATGGGGTATACATTAATCTACTTTTCTGGGAATCTATAGTTGTTCATTGTTGTTGGAGTCTTTCATAGCTGAATACAAAGCAGTCTGTATGAAAGGCTTAATTTTGCCATACTAGAAATCAATTTTAAAAACGAAAAAATGGGTTACTACTTCGACTAAAGCAATAATACCGTCATTGCGCTGTGGAAAATTTCCTCATTTAGGTTCTTCATTAGTAGGCAGTCGCTATAGCGTAATCAATTTTTTCTTAACTATATTATCGACAAGGTTTCTCCAATCTAATGACTGTGAAGATTTTATGAAAGAATTCTATTACCACAACACATGCCATACCAATGTATGGCATATCGCGCGCAGTAATAGAATTCTCGATATTTTTCTAACCTACGGTATGGAAAATATACTATTATCCTTTATGAGTTGCTATTAGGTTACTAGATGAAAGCACAAGGGATAATTGCTGTACAATTGCCCATTCCCTTGACGTTGTATGCCTACATAGTAACAATTTGTTTCGGGCTACAACTATGGAGAATATCCGTGTGAATTTCTAACTCTAATAAGAAAATGAAAACTTGACATTAATGTCGCCAACAATTTACCGGCTGATGACGTATGAGAAAATGGATCGCTGTGATTCTATTCTCGTCCTTATTGACCGTGCTGTGGACTAATGAATGCTATTATTGACCGCATCGAGTGCGAGTATGCCACAATAAACATTGCCGATGTCATTTGAGCTATCCTTTGCAACCACAAAGTTTAAATACAGTAAAAAAATCACAATTTCATGATGTAACTCCTTGATCATCAAGACGATAGATCTACTCAGTATGGCTAAGGATGCAAGTGGCAATCATAACGCTCATTTTTGATATCCTTTTTCGCGTCGTTCTTCGTATTGGCTATTAGTATCGACTGTCCCAATATGCCGATCGAGTATTTCATTACAAGATCAAAAATCCTTCGCCACTAGCTAAGGATATACTGGTAATAGCATAACAGACAATTTTTAGACGTCCATTTCTTTTTAATTTATTTTCCATTTGCCGCAGATCTCACCTATTTTATTGACTACATGAGTATCATTAACTAATTCATAAGATGTAAACGTCCAATTTTGGCTTATCTTTGTAATATACACTGCTCGTGTAAAGCTACTTTTAACCAGTTAAAAGTAGCTCCACTACAAAAGAGGATAGATAAGTTCAAATCATTCAAGTTTAAAACCAGGCTACTGATGATACAACTGAAAATTAGTCAATGTCATTCTCGTAGTGTCAATACCAATGGATCAATTAGCGAGTAGAAAATGCAAGTCCACGCAGTATGCGAAGTAAAGCGAGCGCCATTGCTATTCTTGCAAGTAGAAGTTACTCGTCAATAGTGTTCTGAAAAAGGTTTTCGTGACTGAGTTAGCGTGAAGAAAAGGGATTTGGATTGTTCGTGTGCTACTGTTACCATTCGTGTAGTTCTACCAATGCTATTTTATGTCGAAGGACTATATTATATAACATCTATAGTAAGTAAAATCTCCATGCGTACAGTAAGAGAATGCCTATGCAACTGTTGAACAAAGAAATGCAAAGAATACAAATGATTGATTCTTTGCTTAATTAATATAAAGTATCTGAAAATAGGACAAGAAACTCAATTTCCTGCCAATTTGATTTTATTCCATTCGTTCATTTGCCCACTAAATTGCCAAGGATCATTGATGTACAATCTCACTGCCTGACTTGGAATCATACTGTAGCATCAATGATTTCCGTTGGAGTTTGGATTAGCGCTAAGATGACGTCGATACAATATTCTTTATTGACTGTTATTGCATTTGTGCTGCAGTCACTACTGCTAGAACTACTTCAGCAATTACTTGATAAGTCTATGTTTTCTCCTACGATCCAGCTTGACGTCATGGCGAGTCGGTAGTCATGTCGATATGCTCGTAAGCAGTGATCCACGGTCATGACTTTTTATTTGCATAGGGTAACATTGTCCATTTGTTCTTTCAAATTGGCCGGATATTGCCTTGCTATCGGGAGTAAGCCATTGCCGAGGTTCACCACACCATCGACGTGATTATGATTTTGATTGTTTTACAGAACGCATTTACTGTATTGATTGCATATTATGATTGCACTAGTAATACTGTAGTGACCAAGCTACAAAGAGAAATGCAAGGCCATTGACGTTTTTTGGAAATGTAGAATCGACAATATAGTATGCTAGTTACAGGAACTTTTGAGGGAAAGAAGTCGCAGTTGGTAGATTGGGGCATGGGACTGTTGGAAATTTCTTGTAAAATACGCGTCTTGTACTGGTGTCGCACTTGAGCCAACTATCGCAAGCTTGAAAACGATTTCAGTCTTGAACTGTATTTACTCTATTTGTGTTTGTGCAGAAGTCATCCATTACTGATAAAAATAGTGTCAAAAAAGTCTGATTGGCACGGCATGGTGTGTCGGTTTAATCTACTGGACACTAGAAGCAATTGCAACTTCTTCTTCTCCTTCTACACTCGACCACATTGCAAGGCGAAAAAAAGAAATTGCAATCGCGTCCGCCAATAGTCAGGTCGTTCATTTAACCCAGACATAGATCATTACTGGACACTAAAAGTCTAGAAGCAATTGCAACTTCTTCTCCTCCTTCCACACTCTACCACATTGCAAGGCGAAAAAAAAAAGAAATTGCAATCGCGTCCGCTAATAGTCAGGTCGTTCATTTAATCCAGACATCGATCATTACTGGACACTAGAAGCAATTGCAACTTCTTCTCCTCCTTCCACACTCTACCACATTGCAAGGCGAAAAAAAAATTGCAATCGCGTCCTCCAATAGTCAGGTCGTTCATTTTACCCAGACATAGATCATTACTGGACACTAAAAGTCTAGAAGCAATTGCAACTTCTTCTTCTCCTTCCACACTCGACCACATTGCAAGGCGAAAAAAAAATTGCAATCGCGTCCTCCAATAGTCAGGTCGTTCATTTTACCCAGACATAGATCATTACTGGACACTAAAAGTCTAGAAGCAATTGCAACTTCTTCTCCTCCTTCCACACTCGACCACATTGCAAGGCGAAAAAAAAATTGCAATCGCGTCCTCCAATAGTCAGGTCGTTCATTTTACCCAGACATATAGATCATCACGGTTTGGAACCGCACCGAACCTTTCTCAGGTCTAACCGCAGTCCATTTGGACATGCGTCACTCGACTTTGTGACGTGAATGATTGAAGTGACAGGTGCATTGGATAGGAGTGGCCATTTCCACTACAGTGCGGTGGTGTACTGTAGACTGTACACTGTACGGCTAGTACTGTACAGTACAGTACAGTAGACTGACTGGCGTTGGTACAGGACAGTACAGTACAGTACAGTACAGCAAACCTGGATGTCGACAGCGACTGTGCTCAGTCTAGCGCGTACCGATACGGACCGGTATGTTGGCTGCCAAACGGACAGTACAGTACTGTACAGTACAGAGTCTACCGTGCTAGGCTACAGTACTGTGTACTGTAGTCCAGACGACCGATCCGACTCGGCCTGGACCTAATCGGTCTCAGGTCGACCGACATTGCTCCAGGACAATTTCCTCTACAGTACGGTACTGTCGTTCATGGCGGATACTGTAGACTGTACACTGTACGGCTAGTATGTACTGTAGACTGACTGGCGTTGGTCCTGGACACTGTGGACACTACCGCGTACAGTGTACAGTGTACAGTACAGCAAACCTGCATGTCGACAGAGACTGTAGTCAGTCCAGCGCGTACCGATACGCACAGTATCGGTATGTTGGCTGCCAAAACCTGACTGCAGTCATGACAGTACTGTACACTGTAGAGTCTACCGTGCTAGGGTACTGTGTACTGTAGCTGAGACGACCGATCCAACTCGGCCCGGACCCAACCGGTCTCAGGTCGACTGACAGGACAATATCGCTTCAATGCCGGTGCGATACCACTTCGCGTGGAAACACGATCGATCAAGACGCACGACACTCATTCAAAGCCAACCTCAACCGCCCATTGGTCATAGTCTAATCGAACCCGCCCATCTTCATCGTCGGCTGATCGGAGGTAGAAATTTTTTGGGGGTGGCCAACTATCGCTAATCCAATCGTCGATTGCAGCTTAATCAAATCTGTTGTTATTCTTGTCGAGTTTGCTTGCAATCGGGTTTGTCCTTTTAATTGGCCGTGTTGGATGGGTGCAATTCCATTCTAATTCCAACCATGAAGCCATCAGTCATGCATGATACATGATAAGTGGGCCATCCTTGATACTGTTTGCTGATCCATTTGTAATGCTTGACAACATTGTTGACTAGATAAGCATCGATTGCAATATGTAAATAAGCCATTCTGCATATTATTGATGTAGGGTGCAATTTCTTCTTCTTATCATTTCAAAAATTTGGCTTCTTGTTCAACCTTGGGTGCCGGTTGAAAATCTCCATTCAATCTCCACTGGATAACGTTGATGCATGACGACAGGATGAATAATTGGAATAGCAATACTACCATTTCTTCTTGGTCCAATGATACCCATCTTCCATCAACAAGCAATCACAGTATGGCCAACATGGTGACAACTTGCAATAACACGCTAAATGCAACGCCAACGATCGCCGCCACGATACCACCGGCCATTGTGGAAAAATTAATCACTTATTCCATTATTTCTGCTTTAACCATCACTACCAATGGCCTGTTAATTCTACTCATTGCACTGCATCGTTCGTTGCATCATGTCTCCAATGCGATGATTGCAAGTATGGCGGTGGCAGCAATTTGTTATTCGCTCACTTATTTAATGCCACGATGGGCATTGTATGAAATTCTCAACTTGCGCCGAAATGCTGCTGCTTGTACACTACTTCCCATGAACGGAATCTTGTTTATTTTAATTTTAAATTCTCACATTTGTTTAGTCAGTTTCGATCGTTATGTTTCAGTAACGCATCCATTTAGTTACAATCGTCGTGCTACTCCACGACTAGCGGCGATCTTCATTGCTATCGTATGGTTCTTGCCCATTTTGGCTATTTTTATACCCTTAGTCTCATTTTTGAAATTTTCTAGCCATCGATGTGTCCAGTTAAGACCAACTGACGTTGTCGAACATCGTGTCTATTTAATATTATTATTTACTGTATTATTTTTTATTCCCCTTATAGTATTAGTTTTTGTCTATGGACGTATCTTAATTATTGTCAATGATCACACGCGGCGCCAGCAATACTTTCAGAATGGCCCTTCGTCCACCCCAACGCATGCCATCATACGCAATATTAAAGCATTACGAAGTATGGCCATCATTGTTGGTGTATTTATCCTCTTTTGGATGCCTTATGTAATCACCTTCCTATCCCTCTATTTATCCACTCGTATTACACATTTACAAGCTACCGTTGTACGCATCAGTCAATATTTCGCCTTTTCCTATCCAGCGGTTTGCCCGCTTATTTACGTATTCTTTACTGCCGATCTGCGAAGCCATGTTTTAAAATATTTCCGTTTTGGTGATATCAAACGTGAGCATTGTATAACACTCGATAGTACACTTCGACGTTATTCTGATTTGAACCTTAACATGTCAGTCACAATCAACAAAAAAAGCATTAAATAACCTAGTCAACATTAATCAATCTCTGTCTTGATTTGCTCATTACTTTCTAGATGCCACTACTGCCAATCCGTATTCCAATACTTATCAGTGATAAACACATCCACTACATGTATCAGGACAGTGTTGAAACGATAAATGATGGCCAACTGAGTTGAAATGAAAATTTGCTTTACCTTCCAATCCATGCGTCACCAACTTCATTTCCATACCTAAAGTCTCAAAATCGCCTTAATGTATCGATGCTGTATCAGTATGTCAATCGAACTGCTTGAAAATCGCCTATCATCTTGCATCGCAATCTTGATCCACTTTTTTTTATACCTTACATTTCATTCCCTTTCTTTCTATGCTGTGGATCTATCCACTGTAATGATATCCAATCGACTACATCATTACCATTTCCTTTCGGACTATTACAGCATAGTCCGATACTCGCAAAACAGCGTTCGAAAATTTGGATTCGACCAATTCAATGACTAAGCAATCTATGTGCCATTGGCGTATACAGCAACCGTACATACCCCTATTTTACAACATTTCAAGATTGGCTATGCAATCACGAACGACGAAGTAAACGTTAAAGAATAATATCCAAAAGAAAACGACAACTAGTCAGCCTATCTTTTAGGTAGAAAAGACAACTTTTCATCGGTTAGATGGTAATTTGCAAGGAGGCATAGGACGTCTTCAATTAGAAAACATGGCTTTAAAAATACTGCTAGTAAGATCATTCTCATTTTGAACAAACAAATGCCTTTGTTTTTATTTTAAACATTTGCATGTCAGATGATAATTAATCTTTTTCTGAAATATTCCACATAATATTTTGGACCCTATGTCAAATTGATGTCTACATATTGATAATTCCATTGGTAGTGTAAAGGACAACGTAAAACTAATTACAATTACTGTATAGGGTATGTCAACAACTCTCTCATGTTGGTTATAATCGCATAATGTATCATATCACATCTCTATAAAATCACTTTCGTTATACGTAATATGGATTAAATATCAATCTCAACGAAAGGTATCGTCCTAAAATTCTACATATTTGTCTGTTGGAAAGCAAGGCTTTGAATTTAATTTCTTTTTTCAGTTATTGTCGTATGGTTAAGATTATGTCCAAGATATAAGAAATTGCATAAAATATTGTTCACATTCATCAACCAACTACCAAAATATCCCAACTGTATTTATAGAATGGAATCAATCGTATTGCTTTGACTTCATAATTAGATTTTTATTGTTGTTTTAGTCGTTGCTGTATATTATCTAAAGTTAGTCATACTTTTTTGTTCTTCATGATACTAGAAAATTTTGAAAGTGCACCATTTTAAGTTATTCAACATGATTAATCATAAATTCATTTTCTTGAACTGGTATAAATCATTAAAGTATAATGTGCTTACAGTAGTGTAATGAATTGACTAGATTAAGATGCTCAGTAAATCCTAGAGAATGCAATGATAAAAATATTTTTTCAATTTTTTTTATTTCTATTCACCCTCGTTCAATAGGAGATTCTTCTATTTATGAATTCATGATGTACTCGTATCGATGATAGAGCGATAAGCTTTTGTCAACAAAATCTTGTTGACCTAATGTGCTTGTCTTCTACTCATATTAATTAATCACTCCCTTCCAATATGAATAATTAATTATGAAGAAAATAACATGGCCTACTTTTGTTAATTTCGTCGAATAAATGGTGCTAAGGTACGTCATCAAACAAGAAAGTAACTACTCTTTATGATTACAGCCATGATGGCCACTGTTGACGCCAGGTCTAGATTTTCGAGCAATTGAAAGTCAAAAATATGGTCAATAACAAGTAATCCCAATAGAATAATATACAATACTTCCGTAACAATTAGTTTGAAGTGAAACACAATCGATGGAAAATTCCCCTTAACTCCTACATTAATTAATAAATATTACAAATTTGTAATCACGTTGCTTTATTACAGGGCAAATCCTATTTATTTCTACCAAATACAGTAGGATTGTATTGTATGGAAGAGATCAAATCTGTGAAATCCCAAACTCCTTAAAGTTGATTGGAATTATTTCATTACATTTGGCTATCAAATCGATCAATATTCCATTTGACGTAAACAAAATGATCAATTTTTAATAGCAACACTATAACATTTTCTATTTGATCATTCTTAACCTCAATAGCAATCAAATCTGTATACATTGGACGTAAAACCTAGATAGTTTGTGAAAAATAGAGAATTTCACAGTATTACCCCTCTTCACGAATGTAATAATGGATAGACATTCTAGAATTTTTACTGTACGCGTAGAACTCATATGCAAGCAATGATTTCCCCCCCCCCACACCCTCCCTTACTAAACCGACTGTGTATGGAAGAAGCTTACTTTTAGGAAAGGAATAATTATCCAGTACGCATCCAATGCTTGCAACTGCAAGCCTAGCACAATACTGTCTAGAAAGTATAATATCGACATAAATAAAGTCAATGACTGTAATAATATTACCGAGAGGATATTGAACAATACCGAATAGACCCTAGGCAGAAATTGTCCTTGTACCCTGTCTAATATAATTATAAATGGAATTTTCAATTCACTTTTGTAGTCGTAAATAGTCTCAGTTGCGACAATCTAATTTGCTGTTCATTTCATAATCAAGCATAACAGCAATACATACTGTATGCACGTAGCATGCAAAAAGAAAGAATACTTACGTATAAAAATTTCCTAAAAATTATCAATAATTAATCTGCCGTAAACATCCAATTACTCCAAAAGGATCTACTAATATGATTATTTATGCGGCGATCAATGAACTATTGTAGCACTTACATTACTTTCAATGTAAGTATACAACAATGCGGTCTCCATGTTGCTCCAGGAACGAATACATACAAACGTGAATTTTTTATGTTTTAAATACAACTAAGCTCATAAAATTGATGAATGAGTATAGGTTAGTACAGTAACACAGTTTGGAAATCTTTAATCAAAAGTAATGGATATGGTACGAAAACTAACGTTATCGCTTTCGTTAGTAGATTGGTGTAAAATTTTATAAGACTCATATACAGCACAGTGTTCGCTATTAGGGATCAGATTCATAAAAGGGACAAGTACATCGCATGCTGTTGGCAAATGAGATCAGAATAGCCGCTAATTCCAGCGTTATTGTAACAAGCAACAGTTCAACGTGTAGACAGTTAACCGCCATCGGCTAAATACGTGCATAATGATCTTAACATCAGACATTGACCAGCAGCAAAGACGTAGCTTGCACAACGGAAACAGTGAAGCTAAAACAAAGCTAGTTCTGTTCAATAACGTTCTGTTGCTTCTAAAACCTAGGATAATGCAATAGAACCCTTTTCCAATGTCATTGGTATACCACTGCCTGGAAACGTAATTATTTTTTTGAACAAAGTTGAAATTAGTCATTCAGTATTCTCAGGCAATATTATAACAAATACATAAGGTCATAAATTTGTATGTCTACTGAGAAAGAGTGCTGCTAAGATACCTTTCATACATATAGCCATATGTGAAACAATAACTTGATCGAGAACAGTATCCTTATTATTTCAATCGATATTATTACTTGATATCTTTTAAATACTTATTTTACCTGAAATAAAACTAAACAGGATAGTGAAAACGTGATGATACACTCGAATTAAAAGTTAAAATTGCCACTGTGAATTTTTATGGCCCAATTTTAACGCTATCGTATTTTAATACATGTGCATTTCTATATTTATGTTGATACAAATACCAACACTGTTCTAACTCATACGGTAAAATTCGATTGAAACTTATTATCTATCTTAGGTAACAATATGAAAACCGCGAGAATAAAATAAGTACATACTTTTTCAGCCTACAATTTTTATTAGTTTAGTTCAAATACTATATATCACCATGTGGGTATCAACCACCTGATCGTTTAGACATTCAATGCGTTAAATTCAGAGTATTGGCAAATGTTAAGTCACAATTATACCATGTAAAAACACCAAAGATAGATAGATACGGTACTGTATACTATACAGTGTATAGTCTTAAACATAGAGTGAAAAGAACTTATTTACTGGAATCTATCATCTATATATTTAGTCGAATCAAAATTAACAGGAAAAACTTCAAACCATATTAGGTATTGCAAAACTATAGACAAGGTATATATATACAAGCGCATTAGTAAAAAATTATTTCATTTAACGTGTGTAATGCCATTTTTATTCCAGTATTTCAATTACTAAACCTACATACCGGAAACAAAAGCACAAGCTATCAATATTTATTGACGTAATAAATTTGCTTAATATTAATAAGACTAACGCTATTTTTCACATTATCATATCGATACTAAGAATACGATACAAAATAATTTACATATTGATATTAGATATCCATAGTTTCCAGTTTTCACTTAATAATCCTCCATTCGATATGGTCAATCAAAAACTGTCCTTACCCAAATGATATTTTCGTCTTGCTGGTGCATATACTGACCTTTAAAGCTTCTATAGAAAATACAAGCCGTATATAGGCATTATTAAAGACTAGCACACGAAATATAGTTGACAATCAGTAATAAAATCATCCTCATTAGAATCACTCCGAAATAAAATAGCCTAAACGGATACATTATTACTATCGGCTTTCATTAGGCTACTTCATATATATATAAACCGATTAGAAATAGTCTTGATTTTATTTTCAAGCATACTAATTTCTGATTTGTTTAATTGCTAAAAGAAAAGCTTTACCTACAATATCGCAATATCGTACATCAGTCATTCAAGTTGAAGTTTATTTAGAATAAAACACATATAGTGCGATAGATTAAAATGCTTACATTGTCAAAGGTAACCATCGACGTCCAATTAACATTAATGTCAGAACCCTCGAATACAAACAAATAGGCGAGGTAAGTCTTCATAAATAAACATGATGACATAGTAACGAGTAAATATCTTTGAGTGTTCAATCCTGCT